ATTATTATTTATAGGCTATACCTCCATGTGCCATAGACAAGTCAGGGGTGTCAAATCCTACCGTGTATGTTTTGGAGGTTTCTCTTCTCCAACACACCTGATTTGCATAAATGGTGTATCAATTCGATCACTTAATTAGGTCTGCTGGAGCAGAACAAGTCAAACGTGTCCTAGGCAGGATTTGAAACCCGTGTTCTACACACAGAGTTCCTGTAGTATTTATCTATGGCCATAAAGCAGTTGTCCTTTTGCCTTGAGAACTACCATCCTGCATGATTGTCCCTGCTTTTCTGCTGGCCTTCAAGCTTGTTAATCACTCATTCATTCAAATCACGTGTGTGAAAACAAAGAAACATAAGTCTTTGGAGTTCATACTGAGGTCTGATATGGGGAACGACCACGCAAACTCTAGGATATCGGAATTGTTTACGCCTCTGTTCTGGGCACTCGATTATTTCTATTTATTTATTTATTTATTTTTTTTAATAGAGAGCGCCATCTGTCGAACATGTTGTGAAAAAGCCTTTCAGGCTGAATTACAGACAGGCACATTAGCAGCCACCAACACGGGGTCCTACATTCACAAACAACTCGGTAGCATGTATTTGGGGAGGAAAATAGGTTTTGCATTTAAAATTAATTTTTATTAATGTAAATAGTTATAAAACGCAGACTAGGCTCCTTTACTGAATTTAGTTATTTTGTTTCTAAGAACATTAAACATGAGGTCAATCCTTTGTTAGCTAACTGTTGCTCATCATCTTCTTACGCTTTTTACATTCTAGTTTAAATGATGGATATTTACCCTGGAGTTATCGACAGTGATCCCACTAAACTACAAGAAAGACATTACTACTTGTTATCTGAACTGCAAACTTTAGTGAAAGACTTGCCAAGGTATGGGTTTATCTTTAGGACATACTTTCTTCACAGCGCTCATTGAATTAATTGTACACAACGCGAAGGAATAGTTACTGCGGTTTTTCCTGATGAATATTTATTTATTTATTTTTCAACATGGTCAGCTCATTCCAGCAGCGCCTGTCCTACAACACACTGAGCGACCTGGCTTTAGCCCTCATAGATGGGACAGTGTACGAGATTGTGCAGGGTCTCCTGGATATCCAACATCTGACTGAGAAAAATCTGTACAATCAAAGACAGAAGCTGCACTGTGAACACCAAGGTCTGTGCTCTGCTTGATGAAAAAAAAATACACATACGCAGTATCTCCCTTTTCAAAAACCCACAATTATATCAAATTTTAAGTCTTATTTTATGTCCACACTTTACAAAAAGACTGTTTCCCTTTGCAGCACTTAAACAGGAACTGCTGCGAAAGCACAAAGATGCTTTACAAACCTGCAAGTCTCACAACCTTGCACTTCTCAAATCAAACCAACAAGGAGAGCTTGAGGTAAGAACCAAAGTCCAAATCCAATAAAAGCTCAGAACGTCATGGTGTTCTTGATACTTTAACAACTATGAGGTGGGTTGTCAGGCTTTGGAAGTTCGAGTGCGAGAGGAGCAAAAGATGATGGACAAGAAGATTGTAGCAGAAATGGATCAGAAAGTGATCGATCAGCAGAACACCCTGGAGAAGGCAGGAGTTCCTGGATTCTACATCACTACCAATCCTCAGGTGAATGTCATCCCTCAGTGTCGATACAATGCTTCTGAGCGCTACAATTATAGAATCCAATAAAATGTGTTTCTGATGGAGACAAGTATTCAGCAAGTGACAGCTTTTGTTCTCACCAACTATGTTTCAGGAGCTGACGATGCAGATGAACCTCCTTGAGCTGATTCTTAAACTACAGCAGAAGGAGTCACAGTCTGGACTGCAATGACACTATACACAATGACTTGAGTTCATGTAATCTTGTGATTGCTGAGACTCAGCTGTCTCTAATTAGTAAGAAGTTCACAAAGTGCCCAACATATGTTGTCTAACTGTCACTGCTCTCATACACTTCAAGTAAGATGGTAAAGAGAAAATGAGGAAATTATTTAAACATAATTTAAATGTTGCAAACATGTAAAAACACCATCTAATGAACTAAGACATTAGTAAAGCTGTGACTTTAAATCGTGTTCTTCCTAGAGTTTTTTTTTTTTTTTTTGAGACTCAGAGTATATTTTGGTTCCATTTGTAAAAGGAAGAAGCACAATATTGAGTTATTTATTTGCTCTAACTTGAGAAACAACTCTTGCGTTCCACTTGTTGCTCTCTGCACAACAAGTATGGTACATAAAGGTTTACTCCACTGTTTGTATCGCCTTGTAATATTGAGTTTATCTGTAAGTAACATTTAGTGCTGCTTTGTTTGTAAATTAAATTGTATTTGATAGAAATTTTTTATTTGATCATATTTTGTACTTTTGTAAGGGATCTTAAATTTGGAATTTTGATGCATCTTTTAGAAAAAATGCACTTTTTCCAAAAAAAACCAAAACAAAACAAAGCAATGCCATAACTGTCAGAAAGTAGTGATTACTTAGTACTTAAATACTGATTATATCGAATAGAATAGGAAAGAAAAACTTTGTCTGTCCAAGATGATTTAAGTTTTCTTTGACAGAGTGTTTGCACTTTTTCCTCACGCCTGTGTAGGTTTTGTCTCGGTGCTCTGGTTCCCTCCCCCACACCAAAACATGCATGTTAGATTAATTGGTAACTCTAAATTGTCTCAAGGTGTGTGTGAGTGTTATTTGTTTTGCTGTTTGATGGACTCTTAAACCAAAGGCATGATAAACAAAAGGCTAAGAAATTAGAATTTGCACAGGTTAGAAAATAGCCCCAGCTTGTTTTACTGTATTAATGATACAGTTTACTTTTTTGCTGTGATGGCTAATTATTAGCAATGAATTATATGTTCAGAATTAGTTTTAGTTGTTAGGGCATCCAAGATACAAATAAAGTGCAGGTGGTACATTTGTTTATTTTTCTCTAATGCCAATCCATTACAGTTTATTATCTGACATAAAAAGCAACACCACACACAGGTAGCATGTGCACTATGTGACAGTTTGAGTAATTTGAGTAGTCCAATTCTAATTTGTTTTTCAATATGGATGCATGGATATACACCTTATGTTTTCTGTCATTTGTGCATTGACAAATAGGATAGCATGGATCAACAACAGGAGCTGATATTTATTTGGCTGTGTTGCCTTTCCCTCTCGAAACTGACCAGATTTTTCTAAACACACAATTGGTGCTGTACAAAACGTTTTGTGATATTTAAGCACTGAAAAGCCATGTGTCTTTCAAAAAGACTATTGAAATTTTCTTACAGAAAAGCACCTGATGCAAAGGTTGCAATAAAAGTTTTTACCATCATTTCTATGAAAGAATAGGTCATTCAAAATTTGAGTGGTGAAAGTTTGAAATACTTTAAATGTATTTAGTTGTATTTTATTATTTTGTTGACCAAATAAGCAAGTTGTGGTTAATTTGCTCATTTTCTGATGAGACTCAACACCACCAAGTCTGTTTATGCTTTGCTCTGCACCATACTGTATTATCACAACCAGCTTAGGTGGCTATATTTCATCTTTTCCACCAAGGATTGAGTAATAAATGAATAAAAAGACAATTTTAGCTTCCATTTGTGATATTTTGCTAAAACAGACATAATGTTAAGAATAAGAAAATGACCAAATAATTTGTTGTTAGAAAATGTTTAATTTTAAACCAACCAACCCATGAACTTTGGGCACATATATATTTAAGTGTTTTTTATAGAACAACTGTACAATATCTTGTTTGCATTTTTGACCCAATGTTCATAGCGTGCTTCAGTTCCACACAAATTTTTAATACTTATTTCTTATGACATTTATTTGACCTATAAAACTGCAGACGTGACTCATTTTGCTTAATTGTCGCCTGATGATCCTGGGGATAATCCCTGGGTGTGGGGGTGGGCTCAGTGGGGGGAGGTGGAACATAAAAATAGGGTGCCTGTAGCTTTAAGAAGCAGCCCAGGCAGGGCTTCTTCTTGCCTGTCATCCGTGCGCCTTCTGCTCCTGCTCCATCACCGGATGAGGCGTTCAGGTAACTTCGAACAGCGCTGAACAAGGACCAGCAGCAAAGATGGCAACCTCTGAGCAGAAAAGGTATTCAGTCACAATGTGTTTTTGTTAGTTTTTTTTTCTATCATCTGTTGTGAACACAAAAAATGAAAACAGTCGCTCACGAACGCAAAGTGCGCTGCAGTAGGTACAACAGAGAGGTGCGCTCAGCTCTTTTCCATTTTTGCCATAAATTATTCATGTGGCATTTAAAACAACGCTTATTGCGTCCGTCGCCATGTTCTAATCTCTGTATTTAAACCGGTGTTTATATCTGCAGCCTGCAGCAAAAACACGTACTTTCATGACGGCGGTCTTATTTCTAGCCCGGAGAATAAAAGCGTTACGTAATGAAGGAGGCTTCCTGTTGTCGCCATATGTTTTATCTGAGCCAGGCGGGAGTCAGATGATGGTCTGGTGATGCTGCTGGAGGAGAAATATTTCAATGGGAAGACAAAACATCTCAAACAATAAAACACTGAGAAGCGTCATCATTTCACACATGAGCGATGCCTTTAGGTGACGTGGACTGACCCAGAGCTAAGAGGAGTGCCACAGTCTGTCATTGGAGCAAAACACCACTAGGCTATTATAAGATATAAAGTCACTTATAAGTCACATTATTCTTTAAATTATGATGAATTATTAACATTTTGGTTTTTAAAGACTCAAAATGTTTGACTTTTTGCTTAAAAACTCAGTCTGATCACCTTTTATTGGATAAATCAAGTATGGCATATGCTGAAATTCCCATTTTAAAGCGATTCAGCAGTGTTTCATATTCTCACTATATCTACCCTTTGTAAATATTGGATTTTGTCTTTCAGGTCATCATCATAGATAAGCTAATGGATCCAGTGTGATAGCTTCAAACGTCAACCCACCCTCTGCAAGCCTGTCCAACCCTCACAGCTATGGCAACTTGTCCGAGAGGCTGTGCGCCAGCCGTGCGCCTTTGCCAGAGGCTCAACCGGCTCAAGACGCTGGACGGCGACATGATGGCGACGTCTCTGAAACGCTGCCTCTCCACCCTGGACCTGACTCTGTTGGGTGTTGGTGGCATGGTGGGCTCGGGGCTCTATGTCCTGACGGGAACCGTGGCCAAAGACACGGCAGGACCCGCGGTCATCGTGTCGTTCATCTTTGCGGGTATCGCTTCGTTGCTGGCTGCCTTTTGTTATGCAGAGTTTGGTGCGCGCATACCCAAAACAGGCTCTGCCTACATGTTTACCTACGTCTCCGTGGGAGAACTCTGGGCCTTTCTCATCGGGTGGAATGTGATTCTGGAGAACATGATTGGCGGTGCTGCTGTAGCACGGGCCTGGAGTGGCTATCTAGACTCCATTTTTAACCATGCTATCCAAAATTTCACTGAAACACACATCATGCAGTGGAATGTGCCCTTTCTTGCCCATTACCCTGACCTACTAGCAGCAGGAATCCTCATAGTTGCCTCAGTTTTTATTTCCTTTGGCGTCCAAGTGTCCTCCTATCTAAACCATATCTTCTCCACTGTCAGTATGGGCGTCATTGCTTTTATCTTGGTCTTTGGGTTCATGCTGGCTGACCCAACCAACTGGAGTCAGGAACAAGGAGGCTTTGCTCCTTACGGGCTGTCTGGCATCCTGGCAGGCTCAGCCACTTGCTTCTACGCCTTTGTGGGTTTTGATGTCATCGCTTCCTCAAGCGAGGAGGCCAAGAATCCGCAGAAGGCTATTCCTGTCGCCACTGCTATCTCCCTTGGACTTGCAGCAACAGCCTACGTCCTGGTCTCTACTGTGCTCACCTTAATGGTACCCTGGCGTACCCTGGACCCCAACTCGGCTCTGGCGGATGCCTTTTTCCGTCGAGGTTACAGTTGGGCTGGAATTGTTGTGGCTGTAGGTTCCATCTGTGGTAAGTGTTATCAAGCTCTAACTGAAGCATGTAATTTAAATGGCTTACATTACAATTAGCGTCAACTTATGTTCTATTTATTCTCATTTTCAGCCATGAACACCGTCCTTCTCTGTAATCTTTTCTCCCTTCCTCGAATTGTGTATGCCATGGCAGAGGATGGATTGTTCTTTTCCATTTTTGCGAAGGTCAATCCCCTCACCAAAGTTCCTGTCAATGCCATTCTAGTGTTTGGAGTCCTCATGTCCACCATGGCTTTGATCTTTGACCTGGAGGCCTTGGTTCAGTTCTTATCTATCGGCACTCTGCTGGCGTACACCTTTGTGGCAGCAAGTGTGATTGTGCTGCGGTTCCAGCCTGAGAAGACCAACTCCAAGAGCACGGCTTCCTCATCCCCCAACCCCAATGCTGAGCTTTCCCCTCCCCCCTTAGAGTCTCAGGCCATAGCTGAGGACAGCGAGGAGCCCAAGCAATACGAGTCCTTCTCCGACAAACTCCAGCTGGTGGAGAGGCAGAAGTCTGGAGAGGCACGTGGTGTGGGGCAGCTGAAGGCCTGCTGGGAACCCTACCTAGACAGACTGCTTGGAGACTGTGAGCCAGGTGAAGTGGTGGCCTTCAGTGTGATGATGCTGATAGTGAGCTCAGTGTCCCTCTGTGCCGTGCTGGAGTTTGGAAACAAGCAGCTTCAGCTCCCTGTCTGGAGTTTCACGATGCTCCTGGTGATCTTTAGCTCTGCTTTCATTTTCAGCCTGGCACTTATATGGATTCACGAGCCACAAAGAAATACCAAGACATTCCAGGTGTGCAGTCGCTGCCATTCTTCTCACTCCACTGATTGCCATTAATACCTGTATTAAGCATGACTACAGAATGACATAAGTTTGATTGTTTCGTAGGTACCTTTTGTTCCACTGACTCCAGGTGCCAGCATCCTCATCAACGTCTTTCTCATGATGAAGCTCAGCTTCCTAACCTGGATTCGATTCACAGTTTGGATTGCCATAGGTAAGACATTAGCACTTGGTCAGAAAACGTTTGGGCCAAATTACTGATTACAAAACAAACACCTCACATAGTAGACAGGTATGGGCTAGATTGGGTGTCAAGCTATTACGGTACTACTGGCTGACTGCTGGGATGGTAAGTGGTTTGCTAACTGAATGTTGGCCAGGTCTGGCAATGATGGCATTGTTTTTAAGATGGCATGTTTTGCCAGTCGTACCTGGCCCAGTTGTGGTGTGCTGGCCCTTGCATAGAACACCTATGGAGAACTGCATCTGGGCCATCATTCTTTGCAGTATCTGGGCTGAGTGTTGGAGTGACAGAGCCTTGTGTGGCCCAGAACTGGCCCAGAATATGTTTGCTGTGTGGGACATTTCTGTGCTGCTTATTTGTTTCTAAACATATGAAATGTTAGAAATGAGCTCTTAAAATCTTTGCCTCAGAAATACTGGAATGAAATGAAAATAAAAAATAATGCTGTACATGGATCTTACCTCAGAAAGCACTTTGAATGTCATAAACACACTTTCCATCTGTTGACAGTGGACTTAATGTATTTAAATGTAACACAAACTGCGCAAGTTTTTTTCCCTTTGTTGGTAGAGCTCTGAAGTTGAAGGTGTTGGTCAGACTCTTAATGTTTTTTCTGAGGGCTGGGTCACAGGAGAAAGATGATTATCTACATGAGCTTAAGGTTCCTCTGGCTCAGTAAACCTTTTAAACACTGCTGTCAGCCTGCTGCAAGTTAACAAGATGCACACTTGAGGGATGTCACACTTGACAGACTCTCTGTTCTGAATGGGCTTTCCCCTCCTAAAACACATACAGACGTTTAAGACTTCAGACCTGCTTTTTTAATAAAATTAGAAAAACGTTGTTGTTGTTGTTCAACTCAGTGTAGGTTTTGCTAGTATTGTTCTGTAATGCACCAGATTTGACAAAATGTTCTGGATTTCATTGACTGTAACAAATTTAAAACAGTTATATTATGAAGACTGGTGAGTTTCTATCCCACAAATGTGAATCAAGTCGGTCTTTCTTTCAGTAAACAAAAATGGCATTTTAAAAATGCTGTTGAACACTTGAGGCTAAAAAAAATAACATCACATGACAATGACTTTTGTGGAGGTTTTTATGCAGTTTAAGCATAGTAACACTAGCGCAAATCAAACAAGCTGCCTTGAAACTAATATATTTTCACAAAAACACTATGTGTGTAAATATAAATTGTTGATATAATGTTTTTAAAGCTTTAATTTGTGTAAATTAATTTGCATTAATGAAAACAACAATAGAATCATCATAAGTACTTTTGTAGGTTTGTAACAAAATACATTCAAGGTTAAATGTGTTTTCATTTAGCAGGGATGGGCAACTTAAACAATGGAATTTTATTATTTTTTAATCAACATTACCAGAGGGCCACGTACTGCTGAACAACTATACAACTGACATTTTAAAAATGTTTAAG